CTGCGTTTGTAGAAGGCTAGCATTCCAAGCAGACATTAGCTGGGACGTACATAAAAAAAAGTGAGACTACACACATTTTCCTATTTATACAGTAATAATTTGATTGGAATACAATGCAATACATACTTTAATTTCATTCAGGAAGTTTCCCGTCAGTCAAGTTTTCTCGCAGGACAGAACACAAAATGGCCGCTGACAATGACAAATGTATCGAGTTTTAACCAGTTTGACACAGACTTCACAATATTGGGTTACACTGACCCAGCGCTTGGTAGGTATGTGAGGGGGTTCATCATTTGTATTGACAGTAAAAAAAAACAACAACAAAAAAACAACAACAACAATAAAAAATAACCCATTAAAATGACCCAACAAGCTGAATCCTACGGAGCCCGGGAAGTCACCTGTAGGAGAGAAAAAAACAATCCGTGGCGACGGTTAGACACAGACACAGGTGCTCAAAATAAAGGGTAAGATGTGTGGCAATACAGTCCTGAAAACAAGCACTTATTTGATATATATACATTTATATATATATATATATATAATACATTTATATTATATATATAATTTCTCAAACTGAGAGTTCTCAAATGAACTCAAACATTGAATTATCTGAGCTGCTATCTTCTAGATTTGTGGCCATTCAGAATTAAACAAAATTTTCTGATTATATAAAATGTATTTACATACAGTATTTAATACTGTATGTGAATACATTTAAATACATACTTTATTTAAATGAAATACCTTTCATTATATTTAATAAATCAACTTTTATTTGATAAAATGATTGTCAACATTTATTCCTATTTAATATTTGTTTTCTGACAAACATGTTACTTGTTGGACAAAATTATGAATGTTGGACAAATATGCTATCTACATTTTATAGCTCATGTCATTAATTGGCTCATTTGTGCCTATTTATAATCTCTCCTTTTTAGAACAAACATCTAAGACAGAGGAGATTCTCCAACTAACATAACTGTGAACTTCTTTCTGCAGTATCTAGCAATATCTATGGGCTATGGAAAAGCAACTTCTGAGCTAATATTGTACGTAGTCCTCCAGGTCATTTTGTAAGTCTCTCTGTCTTTCTACAGATCGCCAGCGATTGTTCAGAATACCCCGCGAGCAGCTGGAGGACCAATGTCTCCGTCTACAGGATGAGAACACACTTCTCAAACAACACAGTCAAACACAAGAGCAAAAACTACACAGGTACACAAACAAAAACTAACTAACAGATCCATAATAGAAAGTTATTCGTCATAATTTCCATTAACCTCAATTGGCAGCTCCAGAAACATGCAACCTGGATGCTGTAAATGTAAATAGAGATACCATAAAGAATATGATACTTTGAATGACTTAATAAGTGAAAGAGGTGTTTATTTGGTGTTGTAGTCCAGATTTGATTCAGTATCTACTCTTTCTTTCTCTGTCTCAGTGCGAGGTGTGGATGGGGACGGAGGGGTCAGACGAGCTGCCCAAACTGCTCCTGCTCGCTATGGCATCAGTTCACTGGATGACACCAGAGGAGAGAAACAGATTGTAAGTTGACCTGTGGGTATGTGTTTGTGTGTTTTTTATTCACTATGGAAGAAATACATTAAAATGGCACCAATAAGTCTAAAGGAACTGATCATATAAGCATATAAATATGTCACGAATGATGATACTATTTACATCATCTACATTTTTATGTGATTATATGTGAGTTACTAACTGCAAACTGCCAAAAAAAAAAAGGTGAAATAAGGTTATGTTTATCAGGTCATTTATGCAGTCACGTTTATAAATAATTCATGTTTTATTCACTATGGAAGAAATACATTAAAATGGCACCAATAAGTCTAAAGGAACTGATCATATAAGCATATAAATATGTCACGAATGATGATACTATTTACATCATCTACATTTTTATGTGATTATATGTGAGTTACTAACTGCAAACTGCCAAAAAAAAAAGGTGAAATAAGGTTATGTTTATCAGGTCATTTATGCAGTCATGTTTATAAATAATTCATGTAAGTCTAAACAGTCATAAACGTTAGGTAATAGTGATGGTCAATACACAAAAAATATTGCCCTCAATCTATTTGTCTTTGTCTTCTCTATGTAAGCAGACTTGCATTACTCAGGTTTGTTGGATGTTTTTTATGTGTTTACATACCTTGCAATTCTGCAAAACACAATATAGTGCCTTGCTTCATATACCTGCAACTCAGCTAAGGCAAACAACGAAAAAAAAGAAAGTAGTAAAGAAAGGCTTTCAATGTAGTTGAAACTGTATATGTCTGCACTGAAAACATTTGCATTCTTAATCTTACGGTAGAATTCATAGAGTTCCCTATCAAACGGTCTCTCCCGCTTGACGCTAAGGGGAAACTACTGTTTACTTTGTTACTGAAGCCTGATTTGTTTCTCGTTTGTGTAGCTGCACAAACCAATGGCGCTCTAGCCCGCCTGAAGGGGAGGAGCCGACTGCTATATAAGTCGGCCCAGAATGCCATTAATCAGAATTTTTCTCTTTCAGGGACGAGATCATCTCTTCGCTGACTCTGCTATCGAAAAGCCAAGAAGAAGAAGAGGAAAGAAGCTCAGCCTGCTGCTTGCTGCCATAGAAGAGCCCCGGCAGAGGAAGAAGCAGATGCCTTCCCCTACATCCATCTGGCTACTTAAAAGTGCAAATTTACTGGGTAAATTTCCTGCGACTTTGCTACAAATGTCACGAGTGTGCAGACGGGCACAGTGAGAGCGTCACTTGAGTATCGCCCTTCTCCGCTCGCGAATCGGTAAAGAAGGCGGTCCTCCCTGCTCTGCTCTCCTGTTTCCTTTCTCTCCTAAGAGAAAGAAACAGTGGAGCAGCATGCCTCTGACACCAGGCTCAAGTGATGATGCGCCGGCTCAGCTTACATGTGCTGCACTCTCCCCGCGTCCCCTTGCTTCGTCAGTGTGCTTCACACGTGAGGATCAATGCCCCTCATCAGCTGCGAGTGGATTAGTTTCCTTCTGTGTTTCCGAGGAGGAGATTGCCATTGACGTCTCCATGTCCCTAATGGCATCTGATGCTGAAGAGTGTGTTCCGTCGAGGAGCCTGACACCCCTCCTCTCTCACAATCAACACGGCCCAGCATGGATAGCGAGATGATCTGTGTGCTTTCAAAGGCTGTAGCTTGGTCAGCTCCGGAAAAGCCCACCCAACAGGCTCCTCGACAAGTGGTTCCTGAAGGGACACCATCAGCAATCCTCCTTCTAGCAGCCCTCTCCATTCTTGCCGGCAGTTCAATAGGAACTCACCAAGACTATTCGGCCCATGTTAATCGCTCTACTTCTACCTCTCTCACTACCATTGACGTCGCTGAAGATAGAGGTTATAGCAGACTTTCCCCTCTGGAGGAGGCTGTTGCTGCTCACCTGTGCCCTGCATCGGCCCTGGGGCTGAAGTCCAAGGCGGCGCATCCATCCAAGCCCTGCAGGACTACATCGACCTTAGTCAACAGGGCTTATTCAGCGGTTGGCCAGGCTGGCTCTGTGCTGCATACGATGGCGGTACTCCAGGTGTTCCAAGCCAAGCTTCTTCGGTCTATGAACGAGTCTGGCCAGGATTCTGATGCCTTCAAGTAGCTGCGCACAGCAACCAATCTGGCTCTGCGCACTACCAAGGCAACGGCACAGGCGACTGGCAAGGCCATGGCCAATTTGTAGTACAAATACTGCTTGCAAAGGGAGCCATGGAAACGGTCCCTCTAGCAAACAGTGAGTCAGGCTTTTACAGCCGCTACTTCCTTGTTCCCAAGAAAGATGACGGGCTCAGACCTATTCTCAAACTCAAACATCTGAATCTCTCGCTTATAAGACGGCCGTTCTAGATGTCAGACGTGGTTCCCTGAGTTGATCCAGCTGCTATCAGCAGCCCCTTGGCCAATACCATTGAGGGAGGACCTTCTCTCGAAAGTGAAGGACATGATTTGGCACCCCCGGCTAGAGCTGTGGAGCCTTCATGTTTGGCCCCTCGACAGGAGCCTTTTCAGCTCCCCACGGGTGTGACTAATACCATTTTAGAGGCTAGAGCCCTGTCTACAAGAC